AAACCATAGTGACACTCATCCAAAAACCAATAAAGACCAAACTTGGAACAGAGAGCCTGCATGGCCAACTTAACATTCTGGTGAGGTTTGGGGGAGTACAGACTATGGATGATGGGACTTCAAGTACCTCCACTCACTTCCCAAGACCTTTGCAACGCTCATCTAATGACCGATCGAGACCAAACTTGGCACACAAAACCCCCATGACCCACTCTCCATCCTGGAGCAGTTTGGAGGAGGATAGACCACAGATGATGGGACTCGCAGTACCTTTACTAACTTCCTGAGACCACTGCGAGTCATATAAATAACTGATAAAGACCAACCTTGATACACAATTCCTTTCTCAAATAACCCAGGCAGCGCCGGGTTCCCAAGCTAGTAAGTAATAAATACGGACCCACCACCAGTACACCAATTTTGGGGGACAATCTTACTCGGACAAGGGATCGCATAAACTAAAACTGAGGACAAGATCCAGCATAATGTAAACGGTAGACCAGGGTTCAAATCCTCAATGGGTGACTTTGGGCAAGTCACACTCTTGGTCGCAAGGAACTCGGACCCCTTCAGAATAAATCGGGCCAAGAAAACCCTGCGAAAATTTGCCGTGAGTCCGAAATAACGTGAAGGAAGCACAATTTGGGAAAGAACTGGACCAAATGCGTCGGATGGGCATTGGCAAATTGAGAAGCTTCCTCGGTTGAAATGGGAAGTCTCTGAAAAGCAAGCCTGATGAGAAAACCTATTGGGATAGCTTTGTACGATGTGTCTTACTGGTCCTGCCTTTCTTCCCGGGGATTATGGGGGACGCTGAGTGCCAGCCCCCATTCGGGGAGAAGTGCCATAAAGAGCCCATAAAAAAGGGCCGCCAAATTAATTGAAACTTCCGCGCCTGCCGCTTCCCTCCGTAGAAAGCGCAATTTATGAACGTTTGGGCCGTCGAGGCGGTCTTTTTAATTGGGTCCACATTGGCCGGCTTAACCTCTGCCGCTTCGTGGGCATAAATTTCCAGCCTGAAAAACTGCCAATTTTTTCAGAAAAGCAGCGAGAAAAAGCCAAGATCTCTAATATTTCCATTAAAAAATAAAAAACGAGAGAAAATGGATTTTTGTCCTTAATTCGGTATGGTACCCGCCATTTACGAGATATGAGACGGGAGCATAAATATGGCGAACGATGCTCGAGAGGTGTATGGAGTCCAGACCTGGTTTTCCATAATCTGGATCTGTTATGAAGCATCCCAGTGCCCTCAATGGGAACATCTAGGATTGTTTGGAGTTGCTCAAGAGAAAAGGGGAGGAAACACTAGATGTTTCTGAACCAGAAGGCCCACAGAGAAGTCGGGGTGACATACAGGCAGTCCCCACATTACGAACAAGGGAGGTTCTGTAGGTTTGTACTTAAGTTGAAGTCATATGTAAGTCGGAACAAGTATGCTTTTGAAGTTTAACTCCAACCATCTATCTCTATCTATCCATCTATCTCTCTATCTCTCTATCTATCTCTCTGTCTATCTCTCTATCTATCTCTCTATCTATCTCTATCTATCTATCTATCTATCTATCTATCTATCTCTATCTCTATCTCTCTATCTCTATCTCTCTATCTCTCTATCTCTCTATCTCTCTCTCTATCTCTCTCTATCTCTATCTCTCTCTATCTCTCTCTATCTCTCTATCTCTCTATCTCTATCTCTATCTCTATCTCTATCTATCTATCTATCTATCTATCTATATCTCTATCTCTATCTCTATCTCTCTATCTCTCTATCTCTATCTCTATCTCTATCTCTATCTCTCTATCTCTCTATCTCTCTATCTCTCTATCTCTCTATCTCTCTATCTCTCTCTCTCTCTCTCTCTCTCTCTCTCTCTCTATCTCTATCTATCTCTCTCTATCTCTATCTCTCTATCTCTATCTCTCTCTATCTCTCTCTATCTCTATCTCTATCTCTCTATCTCTCTATCTCTCTATCTCTATCTCTCTATCTCTCTATTTCTCTCTATCTCTATCTCTATCTCTCTATCTCTCTATCTCTATCTCTCTATCTATCTCTCTATCTCTCTATCTCTCTATCTCTCTATCTCTATCTCTATCTCTCTATCTCTATCTCTCTATCTCTCTATCTCTCTATTTCTCTCTATCTCTCTATCTCTCTATCTCTATCTCTATCTCTATCTCTATCTATCTCTCTATCTCTATCTCTCTCCTCTCTCTCTCTCTCTCTCTCTCTCCTATCTCTCTATCTCTCTATCTATCTCTATATCTCTATCTATCTCTATCTCTATCTCTCTATCTCTCTATCTCTATCTCTATCTCTCTATCTCTCTATCTCTATCTCTCTATCTCTTTCTCTCTCTCTCTCTCTCTCTCTCTATCTCTCTCTATCTCTCTCTATCTCTCTCTATCTCTCTCTCTATCTCTATCTCTCTATCTCTATCTCTATCTCTATCTCTATCTCTATCTCTCTCTCTCTATCTATCTCTATCTCTCTCTATCTCTCTATCTCTCTATCTCTCTATCTCTATCTCTATCTCTCTATCTCTATCTCTCTATCTCTCTATCTCTCTATCTCTATCTCTATCTCTATCTCTATCTCTATCTCTATCTCTATCTCTCTATCTCTCTATCTCTCTATCTCTATCTCTCTATCTCTCTATTTCTCTCTATCTATCTATCTCTATCTCTATCTCTATCTCTCTATCTCTCTCTCTCTCTCTCTCTCTCTCTCTCTCTCTATCTCTCTCTATCTCTCTCTATCTCTCTATCTCTCTATCTCTATCTCTCTATCTCTCTATCTCTCTATTTCTCTCTATCTCTCTATCTCTATCTCTATCTCTATCTCTATCTCTATCTATCTATCTATCTATCTCTCTATCTCTATCTCTATCTCTATCTCTATCTCTCTATCTCTCTATCTCTCTATCTATCTCTATCTCTCTATCTCTCTATCTCTCTATCTCTCTATCTCTATCTCTATCTCTCTATCTCTATCTCTCTATCTCTCTATCTCTCTATTTCTCTCTATCTCTCTATCTCTCTATCTCTATCTCTATCTCATTTATATATATCTATATAAATAAAAATGTAATGTTCGTTTGTGGGATTAACAGAACTCTAAAACCACTGGACGAATTGACATCAAATTTGGACACAAGACACCTAACAACCCAATGTATGTCCTTCACTCAAAAAAAAGATTTTGTCATTTGGGAGTTGTAGTTGCTGGGATTTATAGTTCACCTACAATCAAAGAGTTTTCTGAACCCCACCAATGATGGAATTGAATCAAACTTGGCACACAGTTCTCCCATGACCAGCTGAAAATACTAGAGGGGTTTGGTGGGCAGTGTCCTTTGGTTTTGGAGTTGTAGTTCACCTACATTCAGAGATCACTGTGGACTCAAACAATGATGGAACTGGACCAAACGCTACACAAATACTCAATATGCCCAGATATGAACACTGGTGGAGTTTGGGGAAAATAGAATCTTGACATTTGGGAGTTGTAGTTACTGGGATTTATAGTTCACTACAATCAAATAGCATTCAGAACTTCACTAACGATGGAATTGAACCAAATGTGGCACACAGGACCCCCATGACCAACAGAAAATACTGGAAGGGTTTGGTGGGCAGTGACTTCCAGTTTGGGAGTTGTAGTACACCGACATCCAGAGAGCACTGTGCACTCAAACAATGATGGATCTGGACCAAACTTGGCACGAATATTCCATATGCCCAACTAGGAACACAGATGGAGTTTGGGGGAAATAGACCTTGACATTTGGGAGTTGTAGTTACTGGGATTTATAGTTCACCTATAATCAAAGGGCATTCTGAACTCCACCAATGATGGAATTGAACCAAACGTGGCACACAGGACTCCCCATGACCAACAGAAAACAGTAGAAGGGTTTGGTGGGCATTGAATATATTATTAGCATTGTACAATATCACTATTATATAGTACTATATTGTACTATACCATTATATTGTTAGTAATATTACATGTAATATAAATATATAATTATAATATATTATTATCAGTCGTAGTATTATATTGCATTACATTATCTATATAAATAAAAATGTAATGTTCGTTTTTGGGGTTAACATAACTCAAAAATCACTGGACGAATTGAAACATTCACACCTAGCTCCAGCAGACAAGAGTCCTTTGTCTCACCCTGATCATTCCACAGATATATAAACCCCTTTTCCCTAGTTCCAACAGATCTCACTACCTCTGAGGATGCTTGCCATAGATGCAGGCGAAACGTCAGGAGAGAATGCCTCTAGGCCATGGCCATATAGCCCGGAAAAACCTACAACAACACACTGGACGAATTGCTGCCAAATTTGGACAGAAGACAACTACTAACCCAAGGAGTGATCATCACTCAAAAAAATTGATTTTGTCATTTGGGAGTTGTAGTTGCTGGGATTTATAGTACACCTACAATCAAAGAGCATTCTGAACTCCACCAGTGATGGAATTGAACCAAACGTGGCACACAGAACTCCCATGACAAACAGAAAACACTAGAAGGGTTTGGTGGGCATTGACCTTAAGTTTGGGAGTTGTAGCTCACCTACATCCAGAGAGCACTGTGGACTGAAACAATGATGGATCTGGACCAAACTTGGCACGAATACTCCATATGCCCAAATATGAACACAGATGGAGTTTGGGGGAAATAGACCTTGACATTTGGGAGTTGTAGTTACAGGGATTTACAGTTCACATCAAAGAACCCCACAAACTGTTTACCCACAAGCGTAGAGAAATTACATATATTAGAAACCAACACTTTCTCATTACTTTATTTTCTAGATCACCAGACTGGGCCACAGCAATGCGTGGCAGGGGACGTCTAGTGTAATATAAATATATAATTATAACATATTATTATTATTAGTAGTATATTGCATTATATTATAATAAATGAATTCATTACAAATCAGACAATGTGATTTTCGTTTCCCCATGGAAGGCAAAATCCGAGGAAGGCTGGGAAGTGCTGGGAACGGTTGCCCACGCCAAGGCCCAGGAGGGCATCCCTGTCGTGAGTTGCTTGGACTTCCGCTGGATGAGGCCTACCATCTTGGTGCTAGGTATGGGAACCGTCGTAGTACCTAAGTTCATGGATGGAGAAATTTCTACCAATTTGTAATATTAGCCAAACTCTTGGCCTGGACTTTTGTGATTAAATGTATACACTTGACTGGATTCTCAGTGCCATTCCAAGTGCTGTTTGCGGCACAAAAAGTGCAAAGAAGAATCCTGCAAGTTCCTAGATACCTGCCCATATCCAACAAAATACAAGGGTAGGCCAAAAAGTTTTGCCTCCTGCATCACAACAATGTTGTGAATGGGCATACAACAGCGGAAGTTCATTATTATTATTATTATTATTATTATTATTATTATTATTATTTACAGTATTTATATTCCGCCCTTCTCACCCCGCAGGGGACTCCGGACAGTGAAGTGACAGCTCCCCCGGTGGCCAGAATTCAAAAAAGCATACCCTCATGAAGCTGGAAAGTTAAATAGCCTCTGTGTGTGTCTATATATGTTGTGTGTCTATGGCATTGAATCTTTGCCATGTATATGTGTATTGTGATCCACCCTGAGTCCCCTGTGGGGTTAGAAGGGCAGAATATAAATACTGTAAATAATAATAATCTCTATATATAATAAAAGTGAATGTTTGTATGTATGTATGTATGCGGCGGGAGGTGTATGTGGCAGCTTTCTGATTGGCTGCCACTTTCACAGGCCACTGTGACCAACACAGGTGACGCACCTGGACCAAACTTGGCACACGTAATGCCCATGACCCTCTTTACGTCCTGGTGCAGTTTGGGGGAGGTGGACCACGGATTATGGGATTTGTAGTACTTTCAAATGGATTGGTTTCCAGGGACTATTGTAGCCTCCAACAAAGACCAATAAAGACGCCATATTGCTGAGAAAGGCGGGCTATAAATATCGTAAACAAACAAACAAATAAATAAAACCTTCTGAGGTGAAAAACGAGAGTTTGAAAAGTTTCGCCAAATCAACTTTGCCAACTTCCCGAAACACATGGGCCGACGATAACATTTCTGCGTCGAGCACGTATATCTATGTATATAATAAAAGTCAGTGTTTGTATGCGGAGGGATGGGACTTGAAGTGTATGTGGCAGTGTTCTGATTGGCTGCCACTTTCACAAGCCACTGTGACCTGCACGGGTGACAGACCTGGACCAAACTTGGCGCACATAACCCCCATGACCCCCTTTACGGAGAAGACAGACAATGGATGATGGGATTTGTAGGCTTGGGCAATCCATGGTTCTAAATGGTTCTAAAGTACTTACAAAACTAAAGTTCTGGTGGTGAAAATTTCAGAACTCGAACAAAACTTTCAAAATTTAATTATTATTTCATTATTGGTGATTTTAATGACAGAACCAATTAGGAACTGCCATTTATTATGAAATTTTGAGAGTTTTGTTAGAGTTCTGAAATTTTCACCACCAGAACTTTAGTTTTGTAAGTACTTTAGAACCATTTAGAACCATGGATTGCCCAAGCCTAGGGATTTGCAGTACTTTCAAACCCTTCGGTTCCCACAGACCACTGTGGCCCCCAACAAAGACCGATAAAGACCAAACTTGGCACATAGAGCCCCCATGACCCACTCTACATCCTACTGCGGTTTGGAGGAGGGCGGACCATGGATTATGGGACTTGAAGTACCTCCACTCACTTCCTGAGACTGCTGCGACCATCATCCAATGACTGATCAAGACCAAACTTGGCACACAGAGCGCCCAAGACCCACTCTACATCCTGGTGCAGTTTGGAGGAGGAAGGACTATGGACGATGGGACTCGCAGTACCTTCACTGACTCCCTGAGAGCACTGTGAGCCATATAAATAACTGATAAAGACCAACCTTGATAAACAATTCCTTTCTCAAATAACTCAGGCAGCGCCGGGTCCCCAAGCTAGTCATAATAATAAATAACTTCCGTTGTTGTATGTCCATTCACAACATTGTTATGATGCAGGAGGCAAAATTTCAGGAAGTCCATCCTTGCTTGAAGTATGTTTACCATTTGGCCCTTTCTGACTTCTGAAAGATAACCTACATGGTTTCAGATTCATTGACTCGAGTGACATTAAAACAGGTTTAAAATCATTGGACATGAAGCAAAACCCTGCATTTTTCCCAAATGGTTTTGATGCCTGGCTTAAACAATGACACAAAAATGTCCAAATTGATGGTGATTGTTGAACAGTAGTTTTGCGTAGAGGATACTTCAAGCTATGATCTGGAGCAACTGAACTGGACCGGGTTGTGGCGCAGCTGTTTGGGAGTCAGCTACATTAAAATCACTACTGACCAAAAAGTCATGAGTTTGAAGCCATCCTGGATTGGAGTAAGCTCCCAACCATTTGTCTAGCTTGCTGTTGACCTTTGCAACCCAAAAGACAGTTGCATTTCTCTTTCGGGCTGGAACTCTCTGCCCTGGAGTGTGTTAGAGGCTCCTTCTTTAAATATAAGCTGGATGGCCATCTGTTGGGGGTGCTTCGAACGTAATTTTCCTGCTTCTTGGCAGAAAGAGATTGGACTGGATGGCCCACAAGGTCTCTTCCAATTCTAGGATTCTGTGATTCTAATAATGTGAGAGCTGTTCAGCAGTGGAACTCTCTGCCCTGGACTGTGGTGGAGGCTCCTTCTTTGGAGGCTTTGAAACAGAGGCTGGATGGCCATCTGTCGGGGGTGCTTTGAACATGATTTTCCTGCTTCTTGGCAGAATGGGGTTGGACTGGATCACCCACGAGGTCTCTTCTAACTCTAGGATTCTGTGATTCTATGACTGTGAGAGCTGTTCAGCAGTGGAACTCTCTGCCCCGGAGTGTGGTAGAGGCTCCTTCTTTGGAGGCTTAGAGGCTGGATGGCCATCTGTTCGGGGTTCTTTGAACTCGATTTTCCTGCTTCTTGGCAGAATGGGGTTGGACTGGATCGCCCACGAGGTCTCTTCCAACTCTAGGATTCTGTGATTCTAATACTGTGAGAGCTGTTCAGCAGTGGAACTCTCTACCCCGGAGTGTGGTGGAGACTCCTTCTTTGGAGGCTTTGAAACAGAGGCTGGATGGCCATCTGTTGGGGGTGCTTTGAATGTGATTTTCATGCTTCTTGGCAGAAAGAGGTTGGACTGGAAGGGCCCACAAGGTCTCTTTCAATTCTAGGATTCTATGATTCTAATACCGTGAGAGCTGTTCAGCAGTGGAACTCTCTGCCCTGGAGTGTGGTGGAGGTTCCTTCTTTGGAGGCTTAGAGGATGGATGGCCATCTGTTGGGGGTTCTTTGAACTCGATTTTCCTGCTTCTTGGCAGAATGGGGTTGGACTGGATCGCCCACGAGGTCTCTTCCAACTCTAGGAAGTAGGAAATTTAGGTACTGCTTATGTGGGGAGGCTAATTTAACTAATTTACGATGCCATAAAAATATCCAGCAGCATGGAAAAGAATGAGGAAGTACTCCATCGGTGTCACAAGTGGACAGTGAAGCGACAGCTCCCCCGGTGGCCGGAATTCAAAAAGCATACCCTCATGAAGCTGGAAAGTTAAATAGCCTCTGTGTGTCTGTGTCTATATGTTCTGGAGTATTGGCTCTCCCTCCCAATTGGGTGTCGTCTTCCAACTTGATGATCCTGCCTTCTAACCCTTCATTTAAGTCATGAATGAAGATCCTGAGCAGGACCGGGCCTGGGACCGGCACTCCACTAGTCACTTCTTTCCAGGACGAAGAGGAAAGAACTCCGAACCAATCCTTTCAAGGCACCCAATAAGTTGGAAACAAAAGCACGCAACTCTGATGTGTTGCAGAGAGACAAGTTGGGAAGAAAACTTCATAATATTCATATTGCCTGAGTTCATTCCCCGGGAAGAGAGCTTGTGTTTTGAACTGCGTGCCTGGCGCTGTTTTTCATGCGTCCAGGAGGCGGGGATGGTGATTGAGCAGGGTCTTTGTTCCGCCGTAGGAGCGGGTAATGCCACCCCCCGGCCCCGTTTCCTTGTCTTGGAAGGCTCGTTTTTAATCCAAATGGCTTATTGCAAGCTGACAGACGGCCCCGGCCTCGCCGTCGGTTTGGGTGCCTTTACGTTCGGAAGACAATCGAGGAAGCCGCTGCGGATGGAACAGAAACGGCATGGCCCACAAGAAATACGATACGCGGTGACAGGTCTCGCCGTAACTTTGAAGGACGAGGGGGTTCTCTGCGCGGAAGTCCAAATAATCTCTTTCGTCATGGGAGAGCCGGAGGTTGATCGTCTTTTTCTGCCGGCTCTTTGCTGAGCACTAACTCTTGGCAGAAAGGAAAATTGGACTGTGCCGAGTGTGAGAGATACTGGAAAGACGCCTTCTCTGTCATTTGCAAGTGGCTCATCTCCGGAGGCCTCAATCCGATCGCTAGCTATCTTCGACTCATGGATCACATGCTGGAAATTCAGTAGATTTTAGTTAGCTAGCAATTGGATTGAATCAGAATGGCGGACTGTTTTTCTTTGGTCTAGGTGGTTGCCAGCTCTTCTATATAAATAAAAATGCAGTGTTCGTTTGTGGGATTAACATAACTCAAAAACCACTGGATGAATTGCCACCAAATTTGGACACAAGACACCTAACAACCCAATGTATGTCCTTCACTAAAAAAAATTGATTTTGTCATTTGGGAGTTGTAGTTGCTGGGATTTATAGTTCACCTACAATGAAAGAGCATTCTGAACCCTACCAATGATGGAATTGAACCAAATGTGGCACACACAGGACTACCATGACCCACAGAAAACACTAGAAGGGTTTGGTGGGCATTGACCTTGAGTTTGGGAGTTGTAGCTCACCTACATCCAGAGAGCACTGTGGACTTAAACAATGATGGATCTGGACCAAACTTGGCACGAGCACTCAATATGGCCAAATATGAACACAGATGGAGTTTGGGGGAAATAGACCTTGACATTTGGGAGTTGTAGTCACTGGGATTCACAGTTCACCTACAATCAAAGAGACTTCTGAACCCCACAAACGACAGAATCAGGACAAACTTCCCACACAGAACCCCCATGAGCAACAGAAAATACTTAAGGCCATCCAATCCAACTCCCTTCATCAGGGCAAGAAAACGTAATCAAAGTCCTCCTGACAAAGAGCCATCCAGCCATTGATAGATAGATAGATAGATAGATAGATAGATAGATAGATAGATAGATAGATAGATAAGGAGTTGTAGTTTCTGGGATTTATAGATCACCTACAATCAAATAGCATGATAGAATTGAACCAGTTGGGCCATACAGGACTCCCATGACCAACAGAAAACACTAGAAGGGTTTGGTGGGCATTGACCTTGAGTTTGGTAGTTGTAGTTCACCTACATCCAGAGAGCACTGTGGACTCAATGATGGATCTGGACCAAACTTGGCACAAGCACTCAATATGGCCAAATATGAACACAGATGGAGTTTGGGGGAAATAGACCTTGACATTTGGGAGTTGCAGTTACTGGGATTTATAGTTCACCTACAATCAGAGCATTCTGAACCCCACCAACGACAGAATTGGGCCAAAATTCCCACACAGAACCCCCATGACCAACAGAAAATACTCAAGGCCATCCAGTCCAACTCCCTTCACCAGGGCAAGAAAACATAATCAAAGCCCTCCTGACAAAGCCACCCAGCCATAGATATAGATAGATATGATTCACACACACTCAGGGACCTCTGAAGAAGGACAATGTTTCATGTTCCAGAGTAGGCAAACCAGACAATCTCCACATCAACACTGACAAAAAAACAGCAAGAAGTACTGTTTACCCACAAGAAGAAAGAAATTACATATATTAGAAACCAACATTTTCTCATTACTTTATTTTCCAGATCACTTGACTGGGCCACAGCAACGCATGGCAGGGGGCAGCTAATATATATACACACTAGCTGTACCCGCCACGCTTTGCTGTGGCCAAACTTCCCTCCCTCTTTCTTTCCTTCCTTCCCTCTTCCCTTCCCTTCCTCTATTTCTTTCCCTTCCCATTTCTCTTCTTTCTTCCATCTCTACGTGTTTCTTTCCTCCCTTCTTTGCTCTTAGGTTGCATCCTTCCTTCCTTCCTTCCTTCCTTCCTTCCTTCCTTCCTTCCTTCCTTCCTTCCTTCCTTCCTCCCTCCCTCCCTCCCTCCCTCCCTCCCTCCCTCCCTCCTCTCCTTCTTTCCCTCTTTTTTCCTTTCACTTTTTTATTTCCTTCTCTCCTTCCTTGCTTCTCTATCTTTCTTTCTTTCATTTCTTCTTCCCCTCCCTCCTTGTCTCCTTCCTTCCTTCCCCCTTTCCCTTGTTACTTCTTGACTGTCCCTTCCATTTAATTTGTATTATATAGTAATATTATATATATGTGTGTGTGTGTAACATATTATATAGTAATCTATATAACAATATATAAAATATTGTATTTATATCTTACATAGAAAGAAGGAAAGGAAGAAGGAAGGAAGGAGGGAAGGGAAGGAAAGAAAGAAGGAGGGAGAAGGAAGGAGGGAAAGGAAGGAAGGGGTGAAGAAAGGAGGGAGGAAGAAGAAGGGGAAGGAAGAAAGGGAAAGAAGGAGGAAAGGAAGGGAGGGAGGAAGAAGGAAAAGAAGGAAGGAAGAAGAAAGGAGGGACAGGAAGGAGGAGGAGGAAGAGAAGGAAGGAGAAGGAAGGAGGGAAAGAAGGAAGGAAAGAAAGAGAGGGACAGAAGGAAGGAAGGAGGAAAGGAAGGAGGGGGTGAATAAAGGAGGGAGGGAAGGAATTGAAGGGGAAGGAAGGAAGGGAAAGAAGGAGGAAAGGAAGGGAGGGAGGGAGAGGAAGGAAAAGAAGGAAAGGAAGAAGAAAGGAGGGACAGGAAGGAAAGGAAGGAGGGAAAGAAGGAAAGGAAGGAGAAGGAAGGAGGGAAAGAAGGGAAGGAAAAGGAAAGAAAGGGAGGGAGGAAAGAAGGGGAGTCCTTTCGGGTGGAGTGTGGCAGAGGCAGCTACCTCCTGTGTGTGTGTGTTAAATGTGTGCTCGTGTTGCTGGAGACAGGCGAGCAGGTCAGACAGAAAGGAAAGAGTTAAAAAAGAAAGAAGGGTCTACAGAAAGTCCCTCCCCCACCCACCGGCCTCTTCCAACAAGGAAAGGTGGAGGAAGAGGAGACCGCCCTCCTGGCAGAGCAGGGAAAGAGAAGGGGCTCCATGCGGCAAGCCTCCCCCTCCACTCCCATGGTGCCCACTCTTGCTTGTGTGTGTGGGGGGGGGCATGCACAAGCTCGCCTGGCTCCTCAAGCTTTAACGGCCGGCTGTTTCCCCGCGAGGAGGAGGGGGCGTGGACATGGGTCTCTTTGTAGACATGCAGTTTCTCCTTTGTGGACATCCAGTTCAGAAGTCCTTTCTGCCTTTTGTTTTCATGTATGTATGTATGTGGAGAACATACATTGGGTTGTTAGGTATATCGTGTCCAAATTTGGTGCCAATTGCCCCAGTGGTTTTTGAGTTCTGCGAATACCACAAACGAACATTACATTTTTATTTATATAGATATAGCATTTCTACTTTGCGATTTTTCACTTATTGCGGGTGGTCCTGGAATGTAACACCCTCAATAAGTGAGGGAACACTGTACATTTGCTCGAAAGGGGGTTAAAATGGGTTTGTGAAAATTGTTGTTACAAAACATTTAAATTTGAATTTTTGTATCGGCAGGAAATGAGGGCCACGGGCTTTCTCCGGAGACCAAAAGCTTGTGTCGAAGGATGTTAACTATCGCTCCGGGGAGAGAGCTGGAACCAGGCATCGAATCTTTAAATGTGTCCGTCGCAGCGGGTGAGATGTGCCACCTTTGAATCATCGTGTCTTGGTACCTCTTGTGTTTCAGGAAGAGTAACTCATTCTTGAGAACATGGAACTTCTAATCCTTCTTTTCTCTTTGTTGCAGGGATTCTTTTGCACTCGATATGCGCCCAAAAAACGAAAGAGGGGAAGGAGAAATAACTGTCATCATGTTAGAAACTCGGAGGAGTCCCTATCAAAATGTATTCAAGATAATGGCAGAATCCTCTATTTATGTATACGTATCTATATAGTAGAGAGTGATGCTAAGAAACTTGATAGTAAATTCCAAAGATGTTTAATGGGACTTCTGCAAATCTGTCTCAGTGGAGAGGTTCATTGGAGCAACAGACAGCCACTAGATTCTTGTCAATACCTTTTAGTGTAAGGCTGCTGTACTACAACCATGACCCCTGTGTGGGGCGGCCCTTGGAAGCTATAGCTGTCATAATGTTGTTAGTGGTCTCCTGGTCCAGGATGAAGAGTCTGTTTTTGATCCTGAAAGGCCTAGAACAATTTGGGTCAACATTTTCACCCAAAGGGACGTTGTATTCCCTACTCTGTCTCGGTCGTTTTACAACTTATAGTAACCAAGAAACGGGTCTGCTTTGGTGTGGTCCCCACTTTGAAGACCATTGATGTCAAGAGTGAGGAAGGTCTCCGGTATAAGAACTGAACTCCTTGATGTGAAATTTATCCTTGGGTTGCTGTGAGTTTTCTGGGCTGTATGGTCATGTTTCAGGAGCATCCTCTCCTGAGGTTTCTCCCACATTGTTTGAGTCTAAAGTGCTCTCTGGATGTTGGTGAACTACAACTTCCAAACTCAAGGTAAATGCCCACGAAACCCTTCTAGTGTTTTCTGTTGATCATGGGAGTTCTGTGTCCCAAGATTGGTTCAATTCCATCATTGGTGGAGTTCAGAATGCTCTTTGATTGTAGGCGTACTATAAATCCCAGCTACTACGACTCCCAAATTAGAAAATCATTTTTTTGAGTGAAGGTCATACATTGGGTTGTTAGGTGTATTGTGTCTAAATTTGGTGTCAATTTGTCCAGTGGTTTTTGAGTTATGTTAATCCCACAAACGAACATTACATTTTCATTTATATAGATAAATATACACACATTTACATATACACACACACACACACACACACATATGTTGTGATGTCCAGGGTGGAAGAAAGAACTCTTGTCGCTTAAAGGTTGCAATTGTCCACCTTGATTAGCATTGAATGGCCTTGCAACTTCCAAGCCTGGCTGCTTCCTGCCTGGGAGGAATCCTTTGTTGGGAGGTGTTAGGTGGCCCTGATTGTTTCCTGTCTGGAATTCCCGTTTTCTGAGTTGCTCATCTTTATCTACTGTCCTGAGCCTAGAGTCAGGTCTATTGGAAACTAGGCAAGTGGTCTATCTATCTATCTGTCTATCTATCTATCTATCTATCTATCTATCTATCTATCTATCTATCTATTTATCTTCTATCTGTCTGTCTATCTATCTATCTATCTATCTATCTATCTATCTATCTATCTATCTATCTGTGGAATGATGTCCAGGATGTGAGAATGAACTCTTGCCTGTTTGAAACCAGTGTGAATGTTGCCATTGGCCACCTTGGTTAGCACTGAATGGCCTTGAAGCTTCAAAGTCTGGCTGCTTCCTTCCTGGGGGAATCCTTGGTTGGGAGGTGTTACCTGGCCCTGATTGTTTCCTGTCTGGATTTCCCCTGTTTTCTGAATGCTCATCTTTAATTGCAACATTCACACTTGCCTCCAACAGACAAGAGTTCTTTCTCCCACCCTGGACATCATTCCACAGATCTATATAAATAAAAATGTCGTGTTCGTTTGTGGGATTAACAGAACTCAAAAACCACCGGGCGAATTGACACCAAATTTGGACACAAGACACCTTTCAGGCCAACAAGTGACCATCACTCATAAAAACAGCGAAAAACACAGCGGAAGAGACTTAAAAAGCAAAAAAAAAAGAAAAAGAAAAATACATTTCAACACATGTTCATAACCACATTGTTACCCTGACATTAAGTCCAGTTGTGTTCGACTTGGGGGTGGGTGGTGGTGGTGCTCATCTCCATTTCTAAGCCCAAGAGCCGGTATTGTCTGTAGACACCTCCAAGGTCTATGCAGTCATGCTGGCCACATGAAAACATCCCCTTCGGTTTATACTCGAGTCAAGGTTATTTATTATTTTACTCTGTTATAAATACAAAATAAATGCATTATTATTATTACATTTACTTTATTGTTGTTTTTGTTGCATTTATTATTTTACTCTATTATTATTGTTAATATTACATTTCTATTATAGTACTCTATTATTATTATCTTTATTATTTTAATCTATTAATCTATTTTTTTCCATTGGAAGGATACACAAGCACATTTACATTGAAGAAGGTCAGAATATTTAATCAGAGTTGGGGGGGGGTCTTATCATAAATATTCAAAAACATTTAACCTCTTGATGCCTCAATTAATGTAATTTTATTTGTATCTATTTTTATTTTGAAATTTACCAATAGCTGCTGCTTTCCCCACCCTCGGCTTATACTCGAGTCAATCAATTTTTCCAGTTTTTTGTGGTAAAATTAGGTGCCTCGGCTTATATTCGGGTCAGCTTATACTCGAGAATATACGGTACCTCTCTGGCGGGAAGGTATATATCAGTGATTGGTTGCGGGGGGGGGGGGGGGGGGGGGGGGGGGGGGGGATACTGTTTGCTTACTGTTGAAAATTACCTAGGGTTGCCTCTGCCTATTGATCTACTCACATTTGCATGTTTTCGAATTGCTAGATTAGCAGAAGCTGGGGCTAACTGCGGGAGCTCATGCCGCTCCCTGGATTCGAACCTGCAACCTTTCGGTTAACAAGTTTAACAACTCAGCAGTTTAACCCTCTGCGTCACTGGGGGCTCCGGCATAACCACATGTGTATTTATTAGGCTTGGGTAACAACGGAAAAATTTGTTTCTAAACTTGTTTCGTTTTTAGGGGTCCGTTGCGTTTCGTTTTTTTAAAGAATTCCGAATTTTTTCTTTAAAAAAATTCAAAATTTACAAAATTTTGTAAATTTTGAATTGATTCGTTAATGGCGGACGCGATTGCGCACTATGCTAAAAAAACCTCCAAATGGGACAGGGGGAACTTCTGAAGCTTCCCTCTCCCTCTGTTGTTGACTGTTGGTGTGATAAAACAAACAACAACTATATTATATTATAGTATTATATATTATATTATTATAATATTATTATTATGTTATATATTATTATATTATATTATATTATATTATTATAATATTATTATATTATATTATTTTATATTATATTATAATATATTATTATAATATTATATTATATTATTATAATATTATTATATTATGTATTATTATATTATATTATTATAATATTATTATATTATATATATTATATGATATATTATTATATAATATTATATTATTGTATATTATATTATTATAATATTATATTATATTATTGTATATTATTATAATATATTGTATTATATATTATTATATTATATTGCGAAAATAATTACGAAATAATTACGAAAATTGGAAAAATTGTTTAGATTCTGAATTACTCCTCACACTATTCCAAAATGGCTCAATATTGGATCGTAAGCTAATTTAAATACGAATTAATAACGAATTACGAAATTAACAAACGAAACCATCCAAGCCTAGCATTTATGCATAACCACATAATACACATATACACAAATATATACACACAGATATAGACAAAACACATATACACAGACTGGGCCACAGCAATGTGTGGCAGGGGACAGCTAGTGTGTGTGTGTGTGTGTATTTATTTGGAAGTGGCCTTCTCACATCAAACGAGGGACTCAGGTCGGTTTACAGCATATATGCAAATACAATAATATACAAGTACAACAGAGTGCAACATCATTACAGATTAAAATAGAACAATAAAGTACAGTAAAAACATCATCATCACAATTGCCCAAGCCAAGTCGTCAACACAGTCACAGTCATAGTCATAGTCACAGTTCATCATCCTCCTTCCTTGTGGACGAAGGTTATAGATTCAGTCCTCAAATGCCACATTCCAGAGCCAGGTCTTTAGTAGTTTCCTGAAAGTCAGGAGGGAGGGAGCAGATCTAATCTCTAGTGGGAGGGATTTCCACAGCCGGGGAGCCACCACTGAGAAGGCCCTATCCCTCGTCCCCCTCCAAATGTGATGGTGGGTGGTGGGACCGAGAGCAGGGCCCCCCTGGAAGATCTTAATAACCTTGATGGTTCATAGGGGAGAATCTGTTCGGACAGGTAAACTGGGCCAGAGTCGTTTAGGGATTTATAGATCAACACCAGCACTTTGAATTGTGCACGGAAGCTAATTGGCAGCCAGTGGAGCTGGCGTAACAGAGGGGTCGTATGGTCTCTGTACCCCGCTCCTGTTAGCAATCTGGCTGCTGCTCGTTGGACTAGTTGTAGCTTCCGGGCAGTCTTCAGAGGCAACCCCACGTAGAGAGCGTTGCAGTAGTCTAGACGGGATGTAACCAGAGCGTGGACCACCGTGGCCAAGTCAGACTTCCCAAGGTACGGGCGCAGCTGGCGCACAAGCTTTAATTGTGCAAAAGCTCTCCTGACCACCGCCGAGACCTGGGGTTCCAGGCTCAGCGGTCAGTCCAGGATCACTCCCAAGCTGCGAACCTGCGCCTTCAGGGGGAGTGTAACCCCATCTAACACAGGCTGTAACCCTATGCCCTGTTCGGCCCCACTTGTCTAGTTTCCAACAGACCTCACAACCTCCGATGATGCCTGCCATAGATGTGGGTGAAACGTCAGGAGGGAATGCTTCTGGAACATGGCCAGACAGCCCGGAAAACTCACAGCGACCCAGTGTTGATTTTTATCATGATGGAAGTAGTGCCCTATTCTTCCCACTAGGTGTCAGTAGTGATACATGTGTTGTGTTTTGCTCCATCCTGGGAGATAAAAGAGGTTGCAGCAAAAACCTCCTCACATCCCTTTGGGCTGGAACAAGCAGATGAGAATAAGACATTTCTTTCTCCTTGGCGTCTCAATCTGACTCTCTGTGTATTCCCCGCGTGCCCCATAATGTGGCAATCCTCAAAAATGGAATACCTTTTGTTTCACTTGGTGCTGATCATCCACAATGATTGCCTGTCCCTTTTGAAAGAGATCCAGGCCCTAGAACCAAAGCAGAAATAAACAAGCTGTGGACCGAGTCTATTTCCTTTTCTATTTGGTTTTCCAGTGACCTCGGTGTCATGTGGCCAGGCAGTATGATTCCTAGACGCCTCCTCAAAAGAGATCCATGTACATCGCCATAAAGGAGAGCATTAATTGCCACTTTTGTGCTCATTGGCGAGATCCGTGGCACGCTCTCTGTTTACTTTGGTTTCCCGAAAGAAGAATCAGGAAAATAAAATTCTGAATCTGCTGTCCTCTCCGTTTGTTTTATTTATTTTTGTCTTTTGCCTTGTCTTTTACTTATGTTGTATTTTGAAATGGTCATATGACTGGTCAAAGAAATAAATAATAGCAATTATTATTATTATTATTATTATTATTATTATTATTATTTGAAACACTCTGCCTGCTGTCGTATTGGATCACACGTCGGACACTTCCCAAGTGTCTAGGACTGTGTGATGTATCGGCGAATAAGGTGTGCAAATCCCAGTACAGAATCATAGAATCAAAGAGTTGGAAGAGACCTCATGGGCCATCCAGTCCAACACCATTCTGCCAAGAAGCAGGAATATTGCATTCAAATCACCCCTGACAGATGGCCATCCAGCCTCTGTTTAAAAGCTTCCAAAGAAGGAGCCTCCACCACACTCCGGGGCAGAGAGTTCCACTGCTGAACAGCTCTCACAGTCAGGAAGTTCTTCCTCATGTTCAGATGGAATCTCCTCTCTTGTCGTTTGAAGCCATTGTTCCGCATCCTAGCCTCCAAGGAAGCAGAAAACAAGCTTGCTCCCTCCTCCCTGTGGCTTCCTCTCACATTTTTATACATGGCTATCATGTCTCCTCTCAGCCTTCTCTTCTTCAGGCTAAACATGCCCAGTTCCTTAAGCCGTTCCTCATAGGGCTTGTTCTCCAGACCCTTGATC